AAGATAAATATTAATATATTTTAATACTTATATAAATATAAATAAATATATATACATATTTAAAATGTTTAAAAAATTATATATAAATATATATAAATATATATAAATATAAATATATATATATATATAAAAATATATATAAATATATATATAAATCCTTGTATAAAAAAATGTTTATTAAAATAAATAACAAAAATTATTAACAAATATATTTATTATTAATATATATAAATAAATAGAAATATATATAAATAATAATATTAAAAAATAAATGGTAATTTAAATATATTTAAATATAAATACTTATCCAAAAAATTAAATTATGAAAATTATAAATAAGTATATTTAACTATAAATAAAGGTAAATATATAAATATTAATATATTTTAATACTTATATAAATATAAATAAATATATATAAATATATATAAATATTAATATATATAATTATATATAAATATATTTAACAATACATAAATAAATAAATAAATATATATATATATATTTATAAACATGTTTTAAAAAAATTAAATAAAAAATATATAAGTAAAAACACATATAAATATAAATGTTAATTTAAATGAAATGAAATATATAATTAATTTTATTGATAACTTATATTATTAATTTATATTTAAATTTAAATTAACATTTATATAACAAATAAAAATTTTATAAATTAATCTATAATTTTGATATTTTAATAAAGTATTTATTTATAATTAAATTTTAAGTTTTATATCAAGTTTAGAAAAAAATGAAATAAATAATTCTTATGATATTTTAAATTATGCTAAATATTATAATTAAAAATTGAAATCCTATTTAATTCTAAATAGTATTAATAATATTTAAGAATTTGTTTTATAAAAGATATTTTTTATCAAAAATTAATTATAATATAGTTTATTATATATTATTATATTAAATGTTAGTTTTAAATTAATTTTGTAAATGATTATTGAATATAACGATTAAATTAATTCTTAATATATAATAAATTTACATATTAGTTAAATACCTATTATTTAATTTTTATTTGATTATTTTCAATTGGTCTAACATAAAGATAGTACAAATAATGACAAGTAATGTCAATGATTTAAACAAATCTCATATGTCATCAGACGATGAGAGTTGTAATGATAATGGACAACCACTATCTAATAAATTAAGCGTAACTACTGAAATTGTCAAAACATCAATAGCAGTAAACAACTCACAGCAACAAATCAATAATTTGTCTCCAGAAGTTTTTCAAAATATATTGGCCAAATATTTAAAAGCAACCAATTGGCAAAAACTTATACCATTGCGATTAGTAAGCAAGTATTGGCGAAACAATGTTGACTCGTATTTGGGTTCCCGACAAGGTTTTGAATATACAAATGTCATAACTAATAAATCGCAAGCCACCGTAATCAATTATTACGAGTTTATTGCTATGATAAATTTTTATCCAAATCTTAAGTTTTTAACAGTAAAAAATTTTACAGTTAGTGATCATTTAATTGCTATTCTACGACAAAAAGTACCTTATTTAGAGCGCATTAATTTAAACGGATGTTTGAACTTAAGTTGGAAAGGTTTTAAAATATTGGTAAAACGATTCCCACAGTTAAAATATATTGATATCTCAAATTGTGAATTGGACGAATATCGATTTAGTATTTTGATTGAAAATCTCCAAAATTTAAAAGTAATCAATGCCATAAATCCTGGTAAATATGTCACTGGTCATTGTTTGGCTAAATTGGGACCTAATGTTGAAGATATTTGGATTGGTTTTAATCATTTGTCTGATGTAAATGTTGGATTAAAATCATTGGTATCAGGAAATGGCAAGAATTTAATTCATTTTGGATTAATTGTTTCAAATATTGCTACAACTGATTTTTCAATTATTACAAATAATATGAAATACTTAAAAAGTCTTAAACTTACGTTTGGATCTTATAAAAATTCATCACTAAAAGCATTAGCAGCGCTAAAAAATCTCGAATTTCTTGTTTTAGCAGAATGTTCGCAAAATAATAGTCAGTCTCTATTGACCGACGATTCGCTAATTAGTGTTTTTAAAGGATGTTCAAAACTTAGATCACTTGGTATTGCTGGTACTAAGATAAATACTTGTCGATTTACGCATCTATCAATAGCTATGATTCCACTAATGTGTCCACATATGGAACAGATACGCTTTTAAAAGCTCACAACCTTACAAATGAAACACTTTTAGTATTGGCTAAAATACCAAAATTAATAGTATTACATTTGTCATCGATGAACAATATTACTGATGATGGAATATCAGAATTTACTAAATTGGCATCAAAAATAATAAATTTTCGTGTTAGTGATTGTCCAAAAATCACTGAAAATATTCTCGATACGTGGATTGACGTGGCCATTAAACGAAAAGATAAACAAATTAAATTAACTCTTGAAGGCATTAAAATAACTCGTGATTTGAATGACAAACCACTTAATCTTATATTAAAAATAAAAAAGTATTCAGAAGTGAGATTCTTACAATAAAATTCATATATGTAAACAATTAAATCTAAAAATGATAATTTATATTAACATATATAATTTAATTAAAATATTTTATTTTATTTTAAGAGCCAATGGTTATAATGTTTCACCGTCGACGGCATTTTAAGTGTAGTATCTGTGGCCGTAAATTATGGAGAACATTAAAAGGACGTAATAGACACATTCGTGAATTTCATAAATCAACATTAAAATTTCAATGCAAATTATGTGGAAGAATACTATATGACGTTGAAAATACTGTTGGACATATACTTAACACTCATCAAGTAATTATATATATATATTATTAAAAAATATTGTATAAATTTTTAAAATTAATTTTAATTCAAAATTATTAAGATAATACATATCTAGAATTTCTGATTTTTGTTGAATTTTTATTTTAATTTAAATAATAAATTGGCAAAATATTTTTTACTAAATAAATAAATTAAATTAGATATTTTATTTTTACTTTATAAATTATTAAATTAATTATAAATTTATTACAAGTCTTAATTTTTTTATTATAATAATTATAATTTAAATACAATTATTTATAAATAAAAAAATTTATTTTTAAAAAATATGTGATAAAAAAGATTTTTATGTATTTAAATTTTTGAAATTATTTATATAATTTAAATTAACATATAGTAGTTTTTATAATTCAATTATAATTATTATTTATTATTATATATAAAACTGTAACATAAAAATGTAATATAATGTTTAAAGTAACTTTAGATAATTATGTTATGATTTATATAATATATAATAATATTATTATTTTATATTTATATGTTTATTATATTATATACTATTATTTATTTTTTGTAGTGGTGTTACAATACAATTATTTAATTTTTTCGTAGAGCTATTTACATATAAATTTCTATTGTTTTAGAGCTCATAACATGTTTAACCCCAACACCTCCTACACCTCCTCTAGAGCTCATCCTATTGTATTTTTTAGTTATCCCTCTAATTTTTTCGTAGAGCTAAGTAGACATAAATGTCTATTTTCGTAGAGCTTGTAAAAGTATACAACATATACTAATAATAATAATAATAAATTTTCTAGAAATTATATTTTTTACATAATATTTTTAATTAATTTTGTTTAGCATTGTAGATATTAGTTTTTTAAAATTGTATAATACATGCACTTATACATTGTGTTATACAATGTAAAAAATTCAGCCCATTGTTTGTAATTTTCCAACCCTAATATATACTGTATATATATACATACAGTGTATATTCAAACAATTATATAAAATAATCATATCTTATTTTTTTTAAAAAAAAATACTCAGATATTTACAGTATATAAAGATATTTTTTATACATTGTTAAAATAAATAAAAAAATATTTTGATTTTTTTTGTTGAACAAAATTTACATTTATTTACTATTTCTCAATAATAATAATTATTATTATTAGTAATCAATATATTAGATAATTATCTGTATATTTATTTATTTTTTGTTTGTTTAGTATTTATATTAATTATTTGATTTTGATTTACTTTCTTTTTATTGATACCATCAGTTAATATACAGTAATTTATTTATACAGTGATACACAATAAGTGTTTTTTTATGAGATTTATCAGCTAATTATAAAATTAAAGGTAATATACTGTAATATTTTTAGTATATATTATATATATATATATATATTAAAAAAATAATTATCAATTAATCAATAAATATAAAAAAATATTTGTAACTGAATGTGACATTTATCATGTCTTGTGCGGCAATAATCATAAAATAATTATTATATTATATATATATATTAATATATTTAAACAATTTTATGTATTGTTTTAAAAAAGTTAAAATCAATTAAAAGGTTTATCTTTATATCTATATATATATATAAGTATATAATTTTTTTTTAAATATTATAGATTATAAATTGTTAGTTAAATTGACGCCAAATAATTGATAGTTTTTTTTAAAAAAAATATTTGTTATAAAATAAACTTAAAATATTTTATATATTTGTGCGCATTATATAATTTTTTTTATTATAGTATAAATATGTAGTAATTTTAATATTAGAAAATTTTTATTTAATTATTACTATTCCTATTAATAAATACATAATAAATATTATTATTATTTTAATATTTATGATTAACTGATTAAATAATTATTGTATTGAAATAAAAATGTTTTTAAAAATAATTATAAATTAGAAAAATGTAAAACATTTTTGCAAAAAAATATTTATATCTTTTTTATAATCCTTTATAAATTTTATTAGTTTCTTATAATAATAATAATAAAATATATAAAACAATAATAAATAATTTAATTTTCTTTATTATATAATATACAAAGTGTCAGTGTGTTAGTGATAGAGAGAGAGAGWGAAAAAAATATATAAAAAGTTAAAAATATAGAGAAATCATATATAAATCTAACGTTTCTCTCAACTCTATTATAGATTTATTTATTTATTTTTTTGTGAAAAAATGTCATCAATTTTGGAATTAATATTAGATGAACCCAATGGACAACAGGTAAACAATTATTTTTTTGAAAAAATATTTAATTTTTTAAATAATTTTTAAAAAATTCATTATAATATCAACTAGTATATCAAAAAATAATTATTTAAAAAATTAGCTATGTTTATTTTGTATTAAAATTAGTTATATGTATATAACAAAATATGATAGTATAAAAATAAATAAATTTAATTTTATACAACAACAACAAATACAAACTTTATTTTAAGTTAATTACTAATTTACCATGTACATTTTTTGTTAATTATTTTTTTTAAAATATATATTACAGTGTTTGCATGTAAACAATTATAATACTAGTTGGGAAAAATGCAATTTTACCAGCAATAGTGCTAACTGTAAATACGATGGCATTATCTATGATTTTACCAAAATGGTATATTGCGATATCGGCGACGACTATCGGGCCGCCTCAGTATGCGTACTATTGGCAGTCCTACTATTCCTGTTTCTGGCAATGGGAACGGTAGCTGATGAATTGTATGTATCAATATATATATATATATCTGTATAATAAATATATACCTGTATAATATATATATATATATCTATATAATATATATACCTGTATAATATATATACCTGTATAATATATATATACCTGTATAATATATATACCTGTATAATATACTGTATATATACCTGTATAATATATATACCTGTATATTATACTGTATGTATACCTGTATAATATATGTGATATTTTATTATTATTTTTTTTTAATTATTTAAATTAATTTAATTTAAAAAGTTTATGTCCGTCACTATTGACTGTATCTAAAACATTACGACTGCCCGATAACATAGCGGTAAGTGTTATTATGTCATATCATATCATATAACAATATATTTGTTTTTTAAATTAAAATTATTAAATAATATATATTAAAATAAAAAATTTTCTCCCCCTCCTACCGAAAAAAGGGGGTCACATTTCTGGCCTTCGGTAACGGTGCTCCCGATATATTTTCGGCCATCAGCGGCGTTACCGATGCTAAGCCGACACTAATATTTTCGGGACTTTTCGGTAATAATACTGTTAAATACTAAATAAATAATAAATAAATTAATAATTTATTTGTTATGCAACTATTTTTAGGCGCCGGCATATTTGTAACTACCGTAGTGGCCGGCAGTGTCCTATTGACCGGCGAGTTTGAGGTCATGCAGAGGCCATTGATGAGAGACATTGCCTTCTATATTGGAGCGACGTTTATGGTCTGGTTTATCATATGGAAGACACATATCTATTTGAAAAATGCAATCAGTATGTCATATGATTTTTTTAATTTTAATTTTAATTGTAATTTTTTTATTTATTATTATTTTGTTTGTTTGTTTGATAAACAATAATTAAAACTATTTATTAATTGAAACTATTTGTTAAATTAGCAAATATTTTTAATTGATATAAAAATCAATTTTATTTTTTAAGTATCAATTTTTTTTGATGATAAAATATAGTATTAATTATATTATATTTTGAACTTAATAAACTTTTATATTTATTGATATAAAAAAATATTTTTTTCCCAATAAAAATAATTAATCAATAATTAGATAACAATAATATTAGTAGAGTTATTATGAATCATAATAATAGTCTAAATGAGTAAATAATAAAAAATTTATTTATTTATTATGCGATTTTTTTAAAAAAAAAATAATACTAAATATTAACCTTAAAAACTAGTTTAATAACAAACAAACAAAAAATATTAATTAGAAAATAGCATTTTTTAAAAAAACAAAAAAAAAATAAATAAATATTTTTGTAAAAAATAATAAAAACACAGTTTCTAATAACAAATATTAACTAAATATACTATATTTATAACATAAAAAAATTTTAAACAATAAATTAGAAAATTAGTAATCAATTTATTAATAAATAAAAAACAATTAAATATTTTATTATTATTATTATTATTATTATTATTATTATTATTATTATTATTATTATTATTATTATCATTATTTTCTAGCACTGGTTGTCGTCTATGTTTGCTATATCGGTGTAGTCATAATTGGCCGCTATTTTTATATGAAAACCAAAAAAGCCAGAAAAGTAGCCGAAGCTAAAAAACAGACGAAAACTATTACGAAAACAATTATTCAGATCAACGATACCGTCGCCGCCGCCGATGATGATAATGATGTCGACACCAATTCAACTGATATCAGTGTAATCAGCGATAGTATTGATGATAACGGAGGTGACGGCAGTGGTGGTGCCGGTGCTGGTGTTGATCCCGAAGCCGGTATCGACTTTAAGCGTACTAAACGATTGACAACCAAAAGGCAACGCTCCCAGAGCTTGGAGTCGGAACAGGATGTTGTACTAACACGTATGTTATTATTATTTATTTGTTTTATTTATGATAATTATTATTATAAAAAAATATAATTTGTTTTTTTTGGTTGCAATTATTTATTTATTTATTTATAATTTTTTTTTGTAATTTTTAATGCAATATACACTGTGTGTGTGTGTGTGTGTGTGTGTGTGTGTGTGTGTGTGTGTGTGTGTGTAAAACAAAATTGCATAACTGGTAGACGCATGAAATAAAGATTATAAAAATAATTATTTAATTTTTTTATTTTATATTATATAATAAAATTAAAAAATTAGTTATCATTCACTCGTGTCGGAAAAGTTTAGCTCAAAAAACAGTAGTTTTTTTTAAAACAAAATAAATAATTTATTAATTTATTAGTTTATTATGATATACACTGTAATTAATTTTTATTATTAGTATTATTATTAATACTATATAAATACTATAAAAAAACATAATTAATAAATTGATAATCACTTAAATACAGTGATTTTCATCGTTGAAAACTTTTCCTCAATTTTTATGATAGACTATCTCTAACTATAATATAATAGATAGCTATAGATTGTTATCAAAAAAAAGTTATTAAAATTGTAAATGAAATAGAAATACAGTTTATTATTATTACTATATATAAAATTATTATATTATTTAATTAAAAACAAAATATTTTTCTAATAAAAAATATCATTATTTTATGACAAATTGTTATATTTTTAAGCCAATAAAATTATATTAATTTATTAAATTATATTAATTAAATTATTTAATATATATATATATATATATATAGATATAATAGATATTATATGATAGTAGATAACAGTAGTTATATGTTTAAAATAAGTTGCACTTTATATTTGGGATCATTATAATTAAAAAAAATAAAAATAAAATAACTAAAAAATAAAATGATTTTATTATTTGATTTTTTTTACTATTTTGAGAAAAAACAATTTTGATAATTATTTTTTTAATAGAAAAATCAAAGTTTTTTAAGGACTTTGTATTTAATTAATATGAAATTGATTACAATTAGATATATATATATATATATATATTATATAATAGTAATTGATATTAACTTTCAAAAAAAAAACAATTTATTACTAATAATCTCTAGGGTTGTCAAAATGTCACTATTTAATTGTTATATCAAAAAAAATAATTAAATAAAACATAAATAAACTACAATACAATAAATAGTTAATAAAAAAATATTTGCATAGCATATGCAGTATTTACTGTACTTAATAATCAATCACTTATTATTAAATCATATGATTTATTATTATTTAATTTTGATAAACAAAAAAAAATATTTTTGCATTTCATTTTCAATAACGAAAAAATTATATAATATTAAATAAAAATAATTAAATATTTTGTACCTAAAATATGAGTACAATAAACAATATTATTTATTAATGATATATAAATTATTTTAACTGTATAACTAATATACTATACAGTAATACAATAATAAAATATATCTAATAACTAAATATAATTATAATTAGATATTTATGGATAAAAAAAATCATAAGTTATGATTAATAATAGTTTTTTATAAATAAATAAATAAATAAATATAATTACTATATCTATATTAATATGATTACTAATATATATATACCTTTACTCCCATCCCATCCCATCCCACTCCCCCTCCTTACCAAAAAAACAATATATATATTATAGGTTTCTATAGGAAAGGTACAATGAGGACACCCCGACACAGTAGGACCAACTCGTTTGCCAAACATCTGGCCCATCATCACCATGAAAACATGTTGGCAGCCATACAACGAAACTATGATAACCAATACAATCGCAAATTGGATACCAACACAACATCCCAGTCCCAGTCCCTGGCTATCCCTACATACGAGTCCTCTACCAGCAAAGTAACATTCCGTTCCCAAATATCAACCATATCTGTCGCTTCCATAATATCAATGGAAACCCTTTCACGAGCGCTGACCGAATCACGTGAACTACTCCTACATCTATCGCCTATAGACTTGATTGAATGGCCCGACTATCGATGGTATAGGAAACTACTGGAGTGTGTCAAAGCACTGCCCTATTTTGTTATGACACTATGTATACCGGTTGTCGATTTGGAAAGTCCTAAAGATAATTGGTGTCGACTCCTAACATGTATTAATATAATATTTGCACCGCAAGTGGCACTGTTTTTTCTGGGATGTTAGTATTAAAATTATTTTTTTTGTGTGTTTTATTTTGTATGTGTATGTGAGTGTGTGTATGTATGTGTGTGTGTGTGTGTGTGTGTGTGTGTGTGTGTGTGTGTGTGTGTGTGTGTGTGTGTGTGTGTGTGTGTGTGTGTGTGTGTGTGTGTGTGTGTGTGTGTATTAAATGCTATCAATTTTATATTTAAAAAAATTGTTAATTTGAATTTTTTTTAATTTTTTTAGAAATAATAACTATTGTGTGTATGTGTGTGTGTGTGTGTGTGTGCATACCTTTACTATATATAGAGTTTTATATATATACTGTATATATATTAAGCGCTTATGTAGTTAACAAAAAGTTTTCTCTAACTATATATTAGTAGATAATAAATATATAGTAATACAGTAATAAAACTAATAATAATAATTTAATTGTTAAAACTTATTATTAGATATAATAATATTTTTAATTAAATTATAAAATTTTTTTAAATAAATTTCTATTAAATATTACTTAAATTTTTAATAATAATAATAATAATAATAATAATAATAATAATAATAATAATAATAATAATAATAATAATAATAATAATAATAATAATAATAATAATAATAATAATAATAATAATAATAATAATAATAATAATAATAATAATAATAATAATAATAATAATAATAATAATAATAATAATAATAATAATAATAATAATAATAATAATAATAATAATAATAATAATAATAATAATAATAATAATAATAATAATAATAATAATAATAATAATTTATGATAATATTTCTCAACAACAACAAAAATTATAATAAAACTTTAAAATATTTTATTTTATTTAAATATATATATTCTATAAATATATATATTCTATAAATATATATATTCTATAAATATATATATTCTATAAATATATATATAAAAACATTTCACAGATAATTAAATTAATTAATTAAATTTTATTTATTATAATAATTATTAATAATAATATCATATTTTTCATACCAGATATTGACGACTATATTATACCATCGTTTCCCATATGGTCGCTAACACTGGTCCTATCGCTAATAGTCGCGGCCATTGTCTACCTGACCTCAACACCCGAGTCGCCGCCCCGTTATAATCGGGTATTCGGTTTTGTCGGGTTCGGCGTATCGGTTATATTTATCAATGCCATTGCCAACGAAGTTATCAATGTATTGGAAACCCTGGGTATTATGTTCAACTTGAGCGATGCCATACTAGGCCTGACCATACTGGCCTGGGGTAACAGTCTGGGAGGTACGGTAGTTTATACACACAAAAAATTAGACATTTTTTTAATTAATATATTAATTATTTTATATACACTGTTTTAATGTAGATTTAATATCGGATATATCAATGGCCAGACACGGCTATCCAGGTATCGGCATATCTGCATGTTTTGGTGGACCACTACTTAGTTAGTATTAAAATCAAATAAAAATAAATATTTGTTAATTAAAACTAAATTCAAAAACTAAATTAAAACTAATTAATACTTAAAAACTAAATTCAAAATTTCTAACTAATAATTAAAACTAAATTCAAAAACTAAATTCAAAATTTCTAATTAATAATTAAAACTAAATTCAAAAAACTAATTAAAATAATTAGAATAAAATAAATAGAAACTATAAATATATCTATTTTATAGAAAAAAAATTATTAGTTAAATCAACAAAAAATAATAATAATTAACTATAATTAACTAGAAATAATAATTATTATTTTGTTCATATTATTTATAAAAAAATAGTTTACTATTATATTTTAACTGATATTTATTGATAATTAATTTTATTTATTTTATTTTATTTATTTACAAAACTAATAGATCTGTTACTTGGTTTGGGTATCCCCTACACTATAATGCTGGTCGACGAGCCTGAGGACGGTATTGAGGTATTTATATAATTATAATAATAATTTTAATTAATTTTAATTAAATTAAATAAAATTAAATATATATATATAGCTTGTATACAATCGTATGGTAACCCTATTGTACACAACAATATCCATTAGTCTAATATCATCTCTAAGTCTATTTATATGCAATAGATTTCGGGCAAAAAAATTTCACGGAATTTATTTGATTTCAATTTATTTTATTTATGTTGTATTTGCTATACTAATTGAATCTGAGATACTTTAAGATAATAATAATAATAATATAATAATAATTGATTAGAAAAAATATAGTATTCATAGTGATATTATTGTAAATATAATTTATTTTTTTAATAATTAATTAATTAATTAACAACAAAAAACATAATACTGCCATATATTATATTATATATAAACATATATATATATTGTATATTATATATAAATCATGTAATAATTGAAATAAGTTATTAGTATATAAATATTTTATTATATTATTTTATGATGTAATATACTCTCTCTCTATATATAAACGGTTTATAAAATATTATATATATATTTATAGATATATATAATAAATATTGTATAAATTGTAAATTTAATTTTTAATATAGTTTCTATATATATATAATTGTTTTTTATTACTATACAATACAATAAAATTTTAATAATTAGTTTTTAATATTCATTGTTGTATTGATAATCAATAATAATACAAGTGTTTTATTTATTAATATTATTAATGAAAAATATGTACTAAAATGTAATACAGTATTAATAATACATAATTTATTATTTTATAAATAAATTTTTATTAAATATAGTTTCATTAGATTTATTAATAAATTATTTAAATCATTTTATATAATAATTTTATCTCTAAAAATATTAGTTATTTTAATAATTGTTTTTTAATTTTATTTATCAATAGTATTTTTTCAAAATGTAAAATAAATTAACAATAATTTATTATAAAAAAATATGTTAATAAATTATCTTGTTGCATTTATTATTTATATAAATTTTTAGTATTTTTAATTTAAATTATTTGATACCAAATAAATCAAAAAAAGTGTGTATAATTTAAATAATGTTTTTCTAATGTAATAATAATATAAAATATTGATTTAAAATATTAATTAATTTTATGCATCAATTAACTTAATGCATATTTTATAATATTATATATAAATTATGTATAATATATATATATATAAAAATGAAACTAAAATAAAATACAATTTATATGATTAATGCAAATGAAGTGTATTGTCGTGTATAATAATATTAATAATAATAATATTATTATGAGTTGTTATGGTTTAGGTATGTATGTATGTGTGTGTGTTGGATAGGTATGTCCTAAATTTAGAGCCAATTATCTAATATATTGCTAAAGTCTAAAATATTGTGGAGTTAAAAAAAAGTTATTTACTATTTTCAAAATTATTTATCAAAGTGTATTATTTTTTATATAAATACTTAATATAGTATATAAATGTCAATATTAATAATTTTTAATGCTATTAAAATAAATTAGCTAGTTGATTTTTTGTTGATTATTTTAATCAAAATTAAAATATGTTTACAGTTACAGTAGGTGAGTTAAAATAATAGAAATTATTATTATATTTAATTAATTTTTTAAATTATAATATATATCTAAAAACTTATCTATTTTCTAAAATAAAACTGTTTTTAATTAATAATAGATTTAATATATTTATTTTCAAAGTATATTATTTTCAAAAAGTGTATATTTTCCTAAAAATTTCTATTACTGAATATTATGTCAAAAAAAATAATATTATTTTTAGGATTTTTATTATTACATTAGTTTTATGTAATATATATTTTTTATTATTATTAATAATAACTGATTCACTTGAATAACAAAATAACAAAATGTAATCACTTTTTTCATTTGAAAAACTAAAAATCAATATTAATTTTTTTTGATTGTTTTATATATTTCTTAGTAAATAAAAAATATTATGTTTTTTATGTTTAACTACTAATAAATAATTTTTAAAAAATATTTAAATAATATGTATTTATTTTTCGGTAGTAAAATATGTGCCAAAAGTATATCAATGAAAATAATATAATAATAATTACTATTATTATTATTATTAACACAAAGTTTATGCCTATTAAACATTGTATTGTATTAACTAATAATAATAACTATTTACTACAAAATCTATGGCCCGTAAGGCACGGGTCGGTCCAAGTGTCGGCTCGAGTGATGAGTCGAAAAGTGCGGTCACATTATCGACGGCTACGACAACAATAACGGCTGTGACCAACAAAAATGGCGGACAATCGGGCTGTCAATTGGCGTTTGAAAACCTTGATCTGTCGTCGGGTATTACCGGCAAAGTCATCGAACCGACCGATACTGTGTCCAGTAATATACGTCTCGGCGGTTATGGCGACGACGGCGGACACAGACTGAAAGCTAAACAACAACAACAACAACAACAACACCGTAAACCACGTAAACGATTGGCCCGATCGGTGTCCGAAGTGGTCGAGGAAAGGGAGAGACGAGAGAAGAATGTTTTCACAAGATTTAGTTAGTATTTAGTTWATAATAATAATAATAATAATAATAATAATAATAATAATAATAATAATAATTAATAATAATATTATTATTACAAATAATATTATTATTATTACAAATATTATTATTATTATTATAACTAATATTATTATTATTATTATTACAAATATTATTATTATTATTATAACTAATATTATTATTATTATTATTACAAATAATATTATTTTTATTACAAATAATATTATTATTATTACAAATAATAATATTATTATTATTACAAATAATATTATTATTATTACAAATAATATTATTATTATTACAAATAATATTATTATTACAAATAATTATTATTATTATTACAAATAATTATTATTATTACAAATAATTATTATTATTACAAATATTATTATTATTATTACAAATAATTATTATTATTACAAATAATTATTATTATTACAAATATTATTATTATTATTATAAATAATTACAATTATAATATAACTATTAGTTTGAATATAGTATTCTAATTATAATTATTACTATTTATTAATTTTTATTTTTACAGTATATTATGTATTAAATATTAGTATATTTATAATTTATATTAATTAAAACTATTAGTTTGAATATAGTATTCTAATTATAATTATTACTATTTATTAATTTTTATTTTTACAGTATATTATGTATTAAATATTAGTATATTTATAATTTATATTAATTAAAACAATAATTAATATTATTTAATAATAATAATGAATTTTACAATATATTTTATAAAAAAATAAATATATTTATTTTATCAATAATTATTAATTTTTTTCAAAGGGACAAAATACCGGCGCCACGGACTCTACGGTATATTTTTGGCCATTTTCGATGAGCTCCGTACTGTCCGATACCGGTGCTCGGCGTGCGGTATGTTTTGCATATATCGGGTACTATTGTGTCGCAAACGGCCAATCGATGACCAGATCTGATATATAATGTTTGGTTACTATATCTAATTGACTAAATAATTGGATTATTATATTGAAAATAGTTATAATTGTATGGCCAGTGATGTTAGCAAACACTGAGAGAAAGAGAGAGAGAGAGAGARAGAGAGAGAGAGAGAGAGAGAGAGAGAGAGAGAGAGAGAGAGAGAGAGAGAGAGAGAGAGAGAGAGAGAGAGAGAGAGAGAGAGAGAGAGAGAGAGAGAGAGAGAGAGAGAGAGATTTACTGTTATATAACTAATGTATTTTCAATTGAAAAGTTTAACTAAATTAACAAAAGTTTAATTAACAAAAAAAATGTTTTTAAATTTAGATTAAAATAATAATAATAATATTTTTTTCGATATACGATAAAATTGATATTTTCCTATTTTTGTAGACTTTAGAAAAATATTATCATCAAAATCATTGACTTTTTTTTATTGTTGTATATAATTAATAGTTTAGTGTTTTTTAGTGAAAAAAAATATTTCTAGTAATTATTATTAATTAATAGATTTTATTTGTAATAATTTATTTTCTAGTAATAAACAAAAATTGTATAATAATACTAATAATGTAGTAAAAAAAAATTTATTGATTGATAAAATAGTAAATAATTATTTAATTAATTTATTAAATTAAATAATTAGTAATAAAATGGTGAATAAAATAAATAAAATAAAAATAATTTGTTTTTTCACATACAGTATAACTAAACATATGGGAAATGTGTAACAAAAAAGTGTTAATAAAAAAATCAATAGATATACTAATTATTATTATGTAATCACTATTTTTTTGTGATTAATTGTTTAATTGATTTAATTATTTAAAATTATTTTTTTAAATATTATTATTATTATGAAAATTGAATTGATTTTCAATCTATCGGTACTATTGTTATTATTGTTGGCCAACAAAACCAATGTCTACGGTGACGACACCACTACCAGTGAAGATGATCATACATTGAAAGCCGAAACACTGTCCACTGATGGTGGCGGCAGTGGTGGCGGCGGTGGCGGTGATGGCGAAGATCATACACTAAAGGCTGAACAGCCGACTACTGGTAGTAGTAGTAGTAGTGGTGGCGGCGATAGTGAGGATCAGACACTAAAAGCCGAACTGACCACTAGTGGCGATAGCGAAGATCATACACTAAAGGCTGAACAGCCGACTACTAGTGGCGGCGGCGATAGTGAGGACCAGACCTTAAAGGCCGAACTGTCCACCACTACTGAAGCTGATGGCGAAGATCATACACTAAAAGCTGCCGCACCGGCAGCACCGGCAGCGGCCAGTGATGATGGCGACAGTCCAGCCGTCGACATGTCCGACGACGGCAAATGCGAATGTTGTGACGGCCCGGGTGTCAAATGCGGCTGGCATTTGGCCAACTGTGCCGGTGGTGGCGGCGGTAGTAAATCATGTAAACCGCGATCGCTATACTATTGCGAATGGCAACGTAAATACGGTATACTGTACGAGCCGTGCGACCAGAATTGTGTACACATACCGGTCAGCGGTAGTAACGGTACCGATAGCGGCCACCACCACCACAACAATCGGGATGACTTTTGTTCGGTAATGTTTGACCAGTCGTTTATCTATATCAAAACGAAACGGTTCGAGGAGGTGGAAAAATCGTTGAAAGGTGCCCTAAATGAGGCCCGATTGAAAGCCGAACAGGCCATGAATAAGGTGGGTAAGGCTATCCAGGATGCACCTACCGATATGCCCGACTATCTGACCCTGCCGACAATGCCCAATTTTGGACTGGGCGGCCAAGGCCCGACCACTGAAAAGCCTAAATCGGGTTGATTTTAAGGATCGAGGGGTAGGAGGAGGTGTTAGGATAGTTGTTTGTTTGTGTGGGTGTGTGTGTGTTTGAGGGGACAGGTATCTACTAATTGTTGTAGTTATTATGTTTGTATATGTTTTTTTTTGTTTGTTAATAATGCTAAATAATAAAAAATTTAATTAATAACTAATTTTTTTTGTTTTAATTGTTTGTATTTAATTAAAGTTGTTGTTGTTTTTTAATTAAACTAATTATAATTAATAATAATAATTATTAACTAATTATTAATAATAATAATTATTATTAACTAATTATAAATAATAATAATTACTAACTAATTATAATCAATAGTAATTATTAAATAATTATAATTAATAATATTATAACTGTTATATGTATTGATTAAAAATATAGTATTTTTTAATTAAAACTTTTTTTTAAATATTAAAAATTCTTATTTTTATTTAATCTCATTATTTATTTTAATTTAATTTTCTATTAATTAAATGTTTTAAATTTTATGTTAATTATGTATATAATCAACAATACTGTCCGGTGATGACCAGGGGTTGGGTGGTTGAGTGGGTGTGGGCTACCTGTGCTCACACACACCCATCCAATCATTTCTTAACATTCCAGAGCTTCAGCCACAGTCCTTCGCACGACTCCTTATAATAGTCGGAAACCATTGAATAGTTATTTGGATTTAAGTCCATATATTTTGTATACGGACTGTCCGATTGCCGATCAATGGCCTCCGACCAGTTGGCCGAACCCATCTTCGATGGCGATCTACATAATAATAATAATTAGTTTATTGTATATGTCTGGTTAAACCCTGACCACTACATACCCGGTACGGGCAAACTCAGCCCAGGCTTGAATCATATCCCGACTAATCTGATAATCCGATTCCGTAAACGTAATACCCCGGAGCCTAATGGGAAACCCGAACAATAGGAGGACATCATCGCCATGACAGACACCCATCCAACCCTTACAGTTCGGGAATACGGGTATTGTTGGCGGATGTGTTACCCGAAAAGCATATACCCTATTGCCCTGGCTATGCAGGGCAAACTCCCGACCGAAAACCACTGTCGGACAGGCCATATTATAATCGCCAAACCCGTACCCGACTGCCTGTCTCAACCGATCGTAATCCGTGTCGGCCAATCCACGGGTATAGAAATCGGCCACTTCCCCGCCGTACGGCTCCTTAAATACCATATACAGAAACTGGATGTACTGTTTAGCTGCCACTACATTAATCTTGGGCTTAGGTATGGATGGATCAAATACATTGGGAAACAGGCTTTCGACAAATAGGGCTCCCTCTTGACTAACCGTACCGTACATTAGGTCAATATCCTGATTAAACTGACCCTTTTGTAGGGCATCTAAGGCTTGGACAGGCATCAAGTCTTCGCCGAAAATCGGTTCAAATGATTTCGAGTCTTTTCGGGCGGTTTTCGATATATTCAGTATCTGATCGGCCGTTTTGAGCCGTAGACAGTCGACTATTGCCCGACCAGATTCGGTACTACAGTTCAGATTACGGGCCAAATATAGGGTTTTGTTGTAGGATTTCTCCCGCGATTCGCTGCCCAGGTATGAGTTGGGTGCACCTGATTGTAGGATTGCCCGACGGAATAGGCCGGCGCCGAGCGGCGATACTACGTGTGCACCCACTGACATACCACCTGTACGGGTAGGATATCATATAATAATAGATGGCATTAATTGTTTAGTTTGAAAATATATATATATATATAGAGAGAGAGAGAGAGTAAATGTGTGTATATTATGCACAGGTATGTGTGTGTATGTGTGTGTGTRGTAGTAGTGTGTAGTACACTGTGTACTGTATATCTCAGAGAAAGAGAGAGAGAGAGAGAGAGAGAGAGAGAGAGAGAGAGAGAGAGAGAGAGAGAGAGAGAGAGAGAGAGAGAGAGTAAATTAATTAGTAAACTATGTGATAAAAAAGTTATAAATCCTTCAATATTTTTAGCTGAAAATAAAAAATTTACGTTATTTTTCATTAAAATATTATACTAATAATAACATATACTGTATAATTATACTGAAAAATAATAGACAAAATTTCTATAATTTTTTTTTTAATTATGTTTGATTATGATAACTATATTTTAAAATAATATTTTTTGAGCACTTATTTTAACTTAAGTTTATTTCAGTGATTTATTTTTTTTATAAAGAAAATAATTGTTATTAACTTTTCAAATATATATTACTGTATTAACTCAAATATATAATATAAATGTCAAACTACAATATATAATTGATTATTAATATTATCACTAAACAGTATTCACACTATTAATTAAAACTTAAACCTAAATAATCAGTACTTCAAAAAAAAACAATCACTATTATTGACATTTAAAATACTAAAATATAATATAATACAAAAAAAATAGTTTTACACACACATAAAAAAGTGTACTTAAAAAAACTAAAAAGTGATAACACATTTAGCACCCAAAAAAAATAGGCCACAAAATACCTGTGCCTTAAACTAGATATACTATTATGACTTACCGGCCGACTCGCCAAAAATGGTTACCAAATTGGGATCGCCACCAAAAAACTCAATATTTTTCTTAACCCAACGCATACCTTCCAGTTGGTCATACAAACCCATATTACCGGCAGCATCATCGGTACCGGCATATAGGAAACCCCACGGACCCAGCCTATAGTTAACCGTAACCACTATAACATCGCCCATAGCGGCCACATAGCGGACATCGTTGACAATCGAGAATATAGTACCCGTTTCGAAACCCCCGCCATATATCCAGTATAGCACCGGGCGTTTAGTACCGCAAGTTTTCGGTAGGGGTGACCAAACCGTTAGAAACAAACAGTCCTCACTTTTGATGGACTCCTCGGGAATGTTGTTATCCGGTTCCAGTTTATCCGGTTGTATACATGATTGACGATATTTGACGGCATCGTAAACACCCGACCAGTTGCCAATGGGTACCGGTTTGCGGAACCGTAGGTTACCTATTGGCGGTTCGGCTGTTTGGTTGTGTGTGAGGATAGTTAGTATTGTTTTGGTTTAATAGGTTTATACCAATAGACTTACCATAAGGTATACCATCGTAAACGTATAGTTCGGTTCCGTCATCGAGTGTTTTGATAATACCCCTGACCTGACCGTTACGGGTGGTCACTACGGGTGCATAATTAATACAATGTGTTTCGTAAATAAATAAAACTACTAATAAATAAATTGATTTTATGAAAAACATTTGATTTTTTAATGAAACTTATTTTATTAAATAAAAATAAAATTATTGTTTTATTTTTTTTGCTTAATTAATAAATTAAACTTTTTTTAAGTTAAGTATTAAATAATATTTCTATTATTGTTTTATATGATTATTATTGTACTAAAAAAGTATTAATATCAAGATTACTATATCTTTTTCTGATAAAAATTAAGTCAATTATTTTATTTTATTTTTATATATACTGTATATATTTTATTGATTGTATTGAGTAAATGTCATTTTATTATATAAGTAATAGTACTTAAAAATTAATAATATTAAATTGTTTTATTAAAAATAAAGTACATAATAATAACAGAAAAAAGAAAATTAGAAATTTTTAGTTTTTATTATTATTAATTGATTGATAAAATAAAATAAAATAGACTCTTATTTTTAAATGTATTGCTTATTATGTGTTAAATTATTATTAATACTACAATATTAGATATATATCATATATATATACTGTATATACTTGTAAATCAATCATACAAACAATTATTATTATTAAGGCCATAGCATGATTGGCATATTTTAGTAAAACAATATATTTAATATATTAATTAAAAATATTTATTAATATAATTTTTAAAAAGTATGTGAACAACCTTTTAGTAAAAAAATAACATAATTATATATATATATGGGATTATGTTATATATTATGTAATTTAAAAAAGTTAAAAAGTGTTTTATAGCTATATAATAATATTCTTGTTGTAATAATATAGTTGTTATATATTGAATACACTAATATATTATAGATAATAAGTTTATATATATATTTTTATGTAAAATAGTTTAGTTTACATTTTACGTCAATATCAACTAAAAAATATAATTATTTATACAATTATAATCTAATGGACACATAATTTAAATGTACATAATCATTGATTAATATTAATTGTATAGAAAAACTTAATAATTTATATTATAATTATAAAATTAAAACTTTAAAAATATTATATTATATAATTATGATTAAATATATAGATACATTAATTAAAAATACTGTATACATTATATTAGTAAAAATAACTTTTTTCGGAAAAATGTATAGTATTTATCACGGATAATTTTTTTGGGTTAAAATTTAAAACATTAACATGTTATAGATAAATCAATTGTATTTTTTATAGTTTTTAAAATTTTGTTTATCAATCATTAATTTAGTTGTAAATATTTTACCAAATATATCATCATTATTAGGACTAACTGTTAAACATTTACAAATAAAATGTTTATTAACTAAATTATAATTAATATATTTTGGTTTATTTCTAATAATTTCCGAACATCCAGGTCTATTATTATAAACTGGTTGTATCATTGATGATATTAATTTGCTTATTGATTTAATATAGACATTTAAATTGCTATTACCATACAATTCATCGAATAAGCTAGATAAAATAATAAATTTATTAAAAAAAATTAGTAATTATTAGATTTTTATATATGAATATAATAAATAAATTTACAAAAAATAATAATAATTAGATTATCGAAATGATATAATAAATAAATTAAAAATAATTATAATTATTTTTGTAATATGATTATTAGTATTTTTTAATTTATTTAATATAAATAATATCAATAATCTAATTATTTTTTAAGCTAGATAAAAATAATAAATTTAAAAAAAAACAATTAAAATAAATATAGTCATACTTAAAATCCATTTTTTTGTTAACATCGAATAAGTCTAATAATATACAACCCATACTATAGATATCGCTTTTTTCATTATATGCAGCTTTTTTGCCACCATTTAGACTAATTTCGACTTCAGGTGCCATATATTTCTTAGTACCGACACTTTTGGTATGTATTTCCGATTGAGAGCCCAAACGGTTGTGATCAGTGGTTAAACCAAAATCACATAGTTTTAGAAACCTATTATTTAGTGGCTTATCATTGATGAGTATATTTCCGGGTTTGAGATCGCGATGAATAACCGGCGGTTGTCTTGTATGCAGATATTCAACGCATTCACACAACTCTAACATTATATGACTTGTAATGTAATACTCGATACAATCCATCGGTTGATTAGATTTTCGTTGAAATGTTTTTGCTTTTAATTCAATCAATTGTTTAAGACTTTGCGATAATAACTCCATTTGAATGTAAAGTATTTTTGATTCAATCCACGCGTCATAATATATAACCACAAAATCTGATTGAAGTTTAAACAATTGTTTTATTTCTTTTAAATAATTATTTTTCATTTTGTTATCTGTAATAAAAAATAATAATATATTAGAGCAACAAATAATCTTAAATAATAATAATTTTTTAAAAATACTTTCAATTAGAATATCCTTTATAGCGAAACATTTTTTAGTTGTTTTATCAATAACTTTATAAACTCTTCCATAAGTTCCAGAACCCAGAATTTTATTAGTATTTATAAAATTTTTATTATAATATTTTGATTTTTTCAGAATTTTTATATCTTTATTGTAGTAATTATTTTTATAACTTTTTGAATGCAGAACTTTATCTGATGATGACTTATTTTCTAATATTTTATTAATATAAATATCAAATTTTCTAATTAATTTATAGAATTTCTACAAACCTTCTAATGTTAATAATTCGTCTTTTAGTTCATTAAAACAATTTTTATAATTATTATAATAACTTTTGGCATTTAATTTTCCATTAGTATTGAAAATGTTTTCACTATTAATTTTCTCAATTGTTATCGAGTTATTTGTGTTATCTGTTTAAAAAAATTATTCAATTTTTAAAAAATAAATAAAATACAAACCTTCAAATTCTATAGAATGTTCTGTTTGATGATAACTGCTATTATTATATTTATAATCTATTTGTTTATTTATTTTTTGATTAGTGCTAAGATGACTATTTAAATTAATTGTTGACTTAATTGTTGAATCAATTGTTGAATTAATTGTTGATTCAATTTCTGAATCAATTGTTGAAGAGATGTTGTTATTATTTGTGTTATCTGTTAAAAGAATATTTAATAATATTAATCTAAGACAATTATAAATAATATACAAACCTCTTAATGTTGGCACTTGGGTTGCTTGAGGTTTATTTCTATTATTTCTTGCTCTATTGTATATATCTAAAGAATTATTATGTTCTATTTGTCTATTAGGTCGTATTGAATTAATTGTTGATTCAATTTCTGAATCAATTGTTGAATCAATTTTTGAATCAATTGTTGAATCAATTGTTGAAGAGATGTTGTTATTATTTGTGTTATCTGTTAAAAAAATTATTTAATAAATATTAATCTAAAACAATTATAAATAACATACAAACCTTTTAATGTTAGCACTTGGGTTGCTTGAGGTTTATTTCTATTATTTCTAGCTCTATTAAATATATTAGGTCTATTTTTTAGTATTAAATTAATTTTATTAATTTTTTTATATATATCATTATTTGATTTAAACAATAAACTAAGTTGAATTCTTAAAAATAATCTGATGAAGATTAAGTTGATCTTAGATATCCCAGTGTATTCATTAACTTCATTCATATTTACTTAACGATAGAGCGATAGTGTGTTAGTAAAAGAAATTATTAATAGATTTATTGTTGGGTTGAATGTAATGATCGCTGATTAGTTTTACATATATAATTGTGTATCCAATTCTTTCTACGCATTATTCAAACCCAAACTATATTTTTGTTTGTCACATAATATTTATTAAATTATTATATTAAATCGAAAAGTAATATTTTATGACATTTTTTTAAAAAACATTTTTATCACAAAATTTTTCTATAAACTATTGGATCATTTATATTATCATTGTTATGACCTTCTATAGTATACCAAACTTATTATACCCCAATACATCATCATTTGACATCCACTCGATCATTTGTCACATGATGCATTTGATTTATATATATAATTATTGGTCAATTATTATTATATATACTGTTAAAAATATATCATAAAAATTAATTTGATACATATAATTTGACTTTTTACCTACTACAAATATTCAATATAATTCAACACAATTATACTATAGATGTTTAATTATTATAGCATAAATCATAAACGCTATCATAATTTGTCACAAACTATATATTACTTTTACATTTATAATGAAATACTCTTTTATTATATTTTAGATTTTTCATGTATTTTATTACACAATGAAAATTATAATATAAATCATTTACAAAATATCAATATTAATATTTAACTTATTTTTTTACTTATTAACAAACATAACAAATTACTTATACAAAAACCTTTTTCAGACTTGCATTAATACATAATAATAAGCATTTAGTATTAATTAATTAATAATTAATTTTTAAACACTAAATTATAATTTAATTTAACAAATTGCTTAACATTAATTATTAAAAGCATAGTTATTAAATTTACTAAACAAATATTTAATAAAATAATAAAAACTATACATATAGAACAATATTACATATCTATTACTGTAAACTATAGTTATTATCTTAAAATTATCATATATTCTTAATTTATCTAAAAAATATAAAAAATTTATTATTATATTTATATATCATAGTTAATTACACTGAAATATAATAATATTCAACTATTTTTACACTATATATGTATGTATGTGTATGTAAAGATATATTATTTTATTACTGTATATATATATATATATTTCACATAATTAGGTCTAATAAAAGCTGTTTAAAAATATTATTAAAAATTTTTTTCTATTATATTATTGTGCTTTAAGAGAACCTTAAATTTATTAAAACAATTATTATTTCCTAATGATATAGTGGGGCTAAATTAATATACATTTATAAGAAAAACTTTTACGTGTTTTGACAATTATATAATATAACTTATATTCGGATGATTTTTTTGTTTTTCAAAAATATAAATGCTTTTAAAAAAATTAAAAGTAGTTTACATAAAGTCGTCATTTAATAAATAAAAGATCAGATATCACTACTCGTGTTTTATTTTTATCAAATAAGAGAAGTTAAGTTTATTGGCGGACAAATCAAATGAAAATCAAAGGAGTTTACTGACGAAGAACGACATCATTAATAGCTCTAATTAATATTGATCATTGTTAACACTTAGAGTGAAGGATGTTAAATGTTACATTAATGCTACTACGTGTCCGAAAAAATAGCATTGTAAAAAAGAAAGCTTATAGGCGTAATATGAAAATACTACATAAAGTTAACAGTTGTCTATAAAGAGACATACTATACGCATGCGTTAGAAATGTGCACATTATATGAAAAGTGATAAATAACTGTATTATAATATTTGAAATAAAAATGCTTTACTTGTTTATTATCTAATTTATTACATTTTATACATTATTTTTGAAACTTGTATACATATTGTACAATACAAAAAAGATATTGTATTAATTTAATACATATAAATACAAACTTAATTTATTATTATAATTTACAATAGTTTTGATTATAATTTACAATAGTTTTGATTATAATTTACAATAGTTTTGATTATAATTTACAATAGTTTTGATTATAATTTACAATAGTTTTGATTATAATTTACAATAGTTTTGATTATAATTTACAATAGTTTTGATTATAATTTACAATAATTTTGATTATAATTTACAATAGTTTTTATTATAATTTATAATAGTTTTGTAAATAAATTACAATAATTTTCAATTAACAAATTCATTTTATAAGTGTATTGCATTATAACTTATGTTAACATAATTTATAATGCAATAAACTTAAAATAATTAAATATTTTTTAATTAATTTTTATACAATTTTAAAATAATTATTATTATAAGATAAATACATAGTATTTTTAAATTATCAATTAAACAATTATAGATTGTAAACAAAACTTAATTTAGTAATCAAATATTATTAATGTTGAAACATTGCTGTGGTTTCCAATGCAATGTCACTACTTCTACATCAATACGTATGTGTTATAATATAATACATGTATTATAGGTTTAGTGTAATGTGTGTCATCACAAACAACTGTTGTCCTAAAACACAAACACTACAATGCACTACAACTACGTGTACTGCTATATAATAGTTATTGTATAAAAATGTTTTCATTGATTTTCTATATGACGTTTATCACATGTTTCGTAAGTGTATTACAGTACAAAAATGGTTTACTATTGTTGAACTGTAATACATTTTTAAATTGTTGAACACAAGTAACGTTAAATTATAAAAATTTTGCTATTATTGTCTGAATCAAACAAAAATAATTCTCTATTGTATTCATCATAAGGATTTTCTATATCATTCATTGATGTATTAACTTGTAGTGAACAATTATCAACATCTTGTTTATATTTATCACACAGTTTTTCATAAATAATAAAACATATAATGAAATTAAAAATAAAAATCATATAACACATTAAATAGATAAAACAAAAAATAATAAATTTTTGCATTTTATAATAATAAATTTATAATTATTATTATACAACAATTACTGTATTATACATTGGATTGTCAATAGTAAACATTTTCTTTGAATCATCATATTTAAATTGTGATTGATTTAATAAATCAATATATTTTCTTAACTTATCAATTCTTTTATTTTGAATATGAATGACAATCAATGGAAATATTAAATTTAGGAGCATGTAATGCATTGAAGACCAACTTTACTGAGACTGAGTTGAATTATACTAAATATGTTAGCATATTTTTAGTTACAAAAAGATAATCGTTGTCCCGTTTAGTATGAGAGCAAACTTTGACCCTATATGACCAATTGACCATTATATTATATTAAAATCTAACTTGTTTATCTTTAGTGGCATATAATGAATGGAGCATTCCTAAAATATTTACAATCTAATTCATATAATTAAAAAGTTATTACAATTTAACTATAAAATTACCCGAAACGCACGCCAGGTTGATTGCTAGTGTTAATATAAATAAATTACTTGTTTGTATTGTTTATTTATTAATATAATATTTTTATAACTAATAAATATTATAAAATTTATTTAAAATTTGCTAAATCTGTATTTAATTTAGTTGTAAATATTTGACAAAATATATCATTAGTATTTTGATTAATTGGAAATAATTTTCTAATAAAATGTTTCTGAATTAAATTATAATTTATATATTTTGGTGTTTTGAATAATATCATTGCATCCAGGTCTACAATTATAAACTAAATGTATCATCGATGATCGATGAACTATTTTTTAATTATAAATGTTTAAAAATACTGTTATAAAAAAATTGTAATAATTTATAATAAATTATAAAATTTTCATTAATCTAATGTTTTTATGATAAATAATTTTAGCATATATTTTGTAATATATTTTTTAAAATAAATAATTATCTTAATGAAATATATTGTAAATATTGTAAATCTCTATATTGTAAATATTAAGACATTGATAAGCAATATAAGTAGTGAATTTACAATATATAAATTTATGCGTCTATAATGTATATATATATATATTATTTGTAACTTTATTGCCAGTTTTATAAATTTAAAAATACTAAAAAAATCATTAAATATAAATAAATAATAAAAATTAATGTAATTAGAATTATTGTTAATAATACAAATTGTTTCAAGCATTAAAATACATACAAAATTTGTTCAATTGATAAAATTTAAATAAGTAAAACAAGTATATATATTGTATATTATTATAGTTTATTGATAATCAACAGTTAGCTCATGTACATGTTATGTATGTATGTGTTTTGATGTAATCTATGAATGTTTAATAGATTGAAAGTTAGTTATATATATACTATATATTTATATACTTAATAATAAATAAAGAATAATATAAACTATTTATTAATATTATAGTACTTATTTAAAAAAAAAATATTAATAATCTTGATTTAAACCATAAAAGTTAGTTTTCCAATTATTTATGTAGATTTTAAAATCTTGTTATACTAATTAAACAATTTAATTAAACAATTTATCTAATTAAATAGTTATTTTTAATTTAATTGTTTTAAAATATTTTATAAAAATATTGTAATTATGTATATAATAAATTATAAAATTTTTATTAATCTAATGTTTTAATCGTAACTTTATTTTAGGACATATTTTGTAATATATTTTTTTTAATAATAATTATCTTAATAAAATATATTAATCTCTATATTGTAAATATTAAGACATTGATAAGTAATATAAGTAGTGAAATTACAATATATGATATATAATATTTAGTTTTTAAAATTTAAAAAGTTGTTTATAATTTAGTAAATATTTTTAATTAATTTACAATAACAATTAATATTTCATATTCAAATCACTTAGTTTTTTCAATTTTTCTAAATTTGAATTTTATAAATTTTATATTTTTAAAACTATTTTATGTATTATAAATATTTAGTAATAACAATAACTTTTGATATTAAAATAAATATATTTTTTTTAATTATAAATTTATTTTATTTGAAAAATAACATTCAAACTATAATTTAATTTATTATATCAAACAAATTTCTAAATTAATGTCATGAATTATACAATCATTATTTAATAATAAACCAAATTGTACTGATATTATTCAACTGAAACAAAAATATATAAACTATAATTTAATTAGTAAAAATATTTAAGTAAAATCACTTAAGTGTATAATGAATGATAATAATATTTATAAAATATTATTTACTAATATGTTAAATCAAGATTAATAAAATTTATATTTAGATATATTTATATATACAGTTAATATATATAATAATAATAATAATAGTTATATTAATTATTATACTTTATTATTTTATTTTATTATTTTACTTTATATAAATAATTATTTAGACTTACTAAAAAACACTTAAATAATTTGAGTGTCTATATCAGGGATCAAAATTAAACTTT